TAAACGTGATTCTGTTTGGCCATTAAAATGTTTATCTGGACAGATTTTTGTCCTTGTGTTCAGGAGTTGGTGGAGAACTTTTTAACGGTTTCTTCCACATTAAAGTGTTTTTCACAGATATTCTTACGTCTGACTCTTGTTCCATCAAAGCATGAAGCAAAAAATAAAACGGGTCTGTTCTTACTGGGTTTGGTGGTGGTCGTCTGAGAGGGCGGCGGGATCTGCACAGTGAACCTCTGACCCGTCAAAGACACTGGAGTCCCGACTTTAGTGGTGACCGACTGCACAGACGGCGTCCCTGAGGAGGAAATGGCGCTACGCTTTCAGCATCCAGGATCGTACTTTAATACTTGGATTTATAAATCACATAATGATAAAGCTGAAACTCACCGAGCGTGGGCGTGGTCGGCCTGCTGGTGACGGCGCCGACACTGAGGCGAGGCACCGATATCCTACCGGCAGACGACGACACCTGGAAAATAAACTGTTGTTAACCACAAACAAAGACAACGTGAAAGCTGAGGATGACCACGAGAGGTTGTGTCTCACCTTCTTCTGTATGGACTTGAGTCTGTAGTTGGGGGCGGTCAGACAGTAGCGGTCTGGGGGCAGCCGGGGGCCGGTGTAGGGCTTGATGAGAGGGAGGGGGGTCTGGTTCTTCTGCCTGGCAACCTCCAACAGGAACTGGAAACACAGAGAGGGTGAAGCAGCTATCAGATCAGCCCTGTCGCTACAGTCAGCTGGTTCCTGTAGAGTGACGTCTTAATGATCAGAATCTGCAGTCTCCATTTTCCTAACTGACATTCTGGACCCCCGACGAACGAATGAAGAACCGAATGTTACGCCCATCTGTGAAGACTTACATCTCGTGGCGGCGGTGAGGTGAACGACTGATCCATGCGGCACTGGATGGCCAGTCTGATGTCGTCGGCGTCCACGTTGGACTTGTTGGCGTGTGAGGCGTAGGTTTTGGCATCTTCGATGATGGTGGTCACGTATCCTGTGGACAGAAACAACAACTGAGTTGTTCAGAACAGCTCCTGCATGATTCACAGTTCAGAATAATCCTTCTTTGTCCGAGAGTGTCAGAAATATTTAGTCGGGATATCAGAGCATTGTTCCCATGGGCTCTGAAACAGAAATAACTTACTGTAGGTGAACTCCAGCATCTGGTTGATGACTCTGGGCTCATACTCTGTGATTCCCATGTCCTTCAGGATCTGGATCATCACCTACAGAGGAAACGAATAACGTAAAATCTCAGTGCAACAAACTCAAACATGCTCTCAATTTCACTTTTCCCGCAGATTTTTACTCTCTGGAAAACTGTCAGGATAAAAGAAGCAGGATAAATAAATTATCCCGGAAACGTGGTGCTGGAGCGAGGTACAGTGCCCGGCCTTGTCTCGCAGGGTGCACCAAACCAGGGTATTTACAAACATACCGTAGGGTGACAAACGGCTTCACCAAAGCACCAACAGCTCGCGACTAAAGGCTAGGCTAAAGTGCGGCTGCTATTGTTTTGAACGGCAACGTTGCTAAGCTAAGCAGGTTATCATGTTGCACAACTGCAAAGGGTCACCAATTAATCAACACAAATCCAGCAACAAAATTCACCATCAGACAATAAACGGGAGAAGAAACTCCCCAGTGTGAACCAAATTTGCACCAAAACACCGACAGGCTCGCAGCTAGGCTAGCATGTTAGCCGCTATTGCTTTGAGTTGCAGTGTCGCTAGCTAAGACAGGCTAGTCTAGCTAACGAGCAACGCAGATGCAGTAAAGATTATCGAGCAAAGAAAAAAGCTTGACTCAAACTGTATATATACAGTATATATACAGTGTGTATATATATATATATATATAAATGGAAAAAGCTCGTTTCTGACCTGAGCATCTTTCGGGATTGTTTTTGGAGCAGACATTTTAACTTCCCTCGCTGCGCCTTTGCTTCCTCTTCTTCTACTGTTTCCGTTCACAGCTGAGCCATTGACCGAATCCGGAAATGAAAGAAAACAGAGGAACTGCAACGGCTCCGAGTTAAAAGCTTTCAAAATAAACCTCAAATTTATAAATCAGAAAAATCAAGATTTTATTTATTTCTTTTACAATTAACACCTGATGTCTCGTATTATGTAGACAAATTTAGTTAACAAAACAAGATAAGTAATGCGAAACACATAATAACACGTTTTAATAAACTTCAAAGTACAATAAAAGTAAGTCATTAAAATTGAGCAAATCAAGGTTTTTGATTTGTCTCTTATTCCCGTTTTAATCATTTTGCTTACATCGTGAGATAAGTTTATCATTGATTTAAACTGATGGGTTTTTTTCTACTTTATGTCTTTTAAATATGACAAAGTTCTACCTCTAAATATTCATGGTTTAAACTTTTGAGTATCTTTGAGGTTATAACTACACAGTACCTGCAGGGGGCGTCACAGGAAGACATATTGAACTCTAAAGCCTGCGTGAAAAATAAGCTACAAACCAAAGTT